AAAAATTATGTTTTCTGATTGTTTATTCTACAAATGTATGTACCCATAATTCATGGGATTATGGACTTGACTGTTTCTTTTGATTGGTTAATCATTAACCTGCAGATATTTGAAAAACTTGGGGAAGGCAGTTATGCTCAGAAAGGTTGTTTGGATCAGTCTGGTAAAAAATAATACCTTATGAGATTTAAGTTGCTGTTAAATCCTCAGTTGATTAATTTTTTAAATGATTTATAGAATTAAAATTTACGATGAAAATTGCCTTACTGTTTGAGGGCCGTAAGAAGCTTTTTTTAGATCAATATAACAAATATTTGTGATTTATCTTAAAGGTCATTTCTTTAGCTTAACAAAAATGACTATTGTTATTATTTGACAGTTCTTTTTGGTTTCAGAGCTGAATTCTTGTGAACGAAGGATTTTTTTAGTGTATTTTTACTGTCATATGTCAACTTTGAGGATAAAGTGAGAAACTTACATAACAAGGGACAGGCAAATTTTGTTGGTTCACTGTGTAGAAAATTCTCTAAACTTCAAAATGAGCTATGATATATGAAAATTGACTAAATGTAGCTCAACTTACAACCATTTATTCACGGTGTTGTCTTTTTTGCGAAAATTAATTACCATACCCATGGGAGGAAAAGGGTTAAAGGTCAACTTCGGTGGCCTATGAAGGGGTCTGCCATCTACAATTACAGATCATAATATACTTTATCCTTGTAATTTAATTACTCTGATTCTCCGTCCTGGCTTACCATTACAGACTATAAGCAGCGCGTCCACTCAGGTTGTAAAGAATTGGAGTTATTATTTAAAAAAAGTGCAATGCAAACTGCTTAATAGCCATCACGGCCTATTTAACGGCCAATAAAAAGGTCAGGTATATATATTTACAAAGTTTACGACATTTTAAAGCTTTGTGCTTGTAGTTTAATTCCTCAGTTTCTTATTTGGCCTGCCATAAGCGATGCGTCCAGCTTGACAGGAGTTCGGGCTAAAATGACAAAAAATGCAATGCGATCCGTTGAATGGCTGTCTCGCAAGACGTCATAGGCAATCAAGAATGTACCATGTACATGACAATGTGAATGACCTTATGATCTGTTAATCTACATGCAGTGGAACCTCGATTTAACGAACCTCTATCACGTTAACGAAGTCCTCGGTATAACGGATGATACTTCAGTTTCAGCCCGGCTAAAGTTACAGTAAAATTTATGTCACAGAACCTCGATATTGGCGAACCCTCGATATAACGAACCAATTTCCCCAGTCCCGTGGCACTTCGTTAAATGGAGGTTCCACTGCACCAGACTTTTCTGTGGGTCTTTAAATAGACTGTGACAGCTGTTCAGCGGTTCACATAGCATCTTTTGTCATAATAGCCGAACTCTTTTAAACCTTAGATTTTCAATACTGACTAACTATTGAAACATATCTGCACTTAGTATTCAAAATCATGATTGAAAGAAGGCTTGACAATGAAAACTTTTGATTGAAATTTCATCTTCTTGAAAAAGTAATCGCGTTGTGGGCAACGTTTTCATCTTTTAAAATCTCTGGTCAAATGAAGATATGGATTCATTAGGGATATAAGCTTGAAATGGATCGGCGTGAGGCCGCACAAAGAACGACGAGGAAAATTCTTGAAAATTCTTTGTTCACTAATTTGGTTATGCGAATTTAACAATGCAAAGGCCTACCTAACATCTTGCTGCAGACATCAGCCGAGCCGAGAGCGACAAATTTTACAAGTTTGGATCGTATCCCGGCCCGATGGTCTTTACAAAACGGAAAGCGTCTTCGGATCCTTAAAAAATTACTAGTCTGGCAAATTTCCTCGATTTCCGAAGTTAATCGCAATGTTTTTCTTAGTAAACACCTATTGCTCGTCTGCAATAGAGCTATCCGCTGACAATTTCCGGTGAGATTGCTTTGCAAGTTGTGAGAACATCGTTTCGCTTTCATTTAGAGGAATGTATGGAAAGAAGCTTCCCCCCTACCCTGCTTGAAAATGCTGTTTTCAACATCTGTCCGAAGCGAAAACGAAAACTCGTTGCTCCACTTATTTCATTAGGAGGATTAGGCCCGGTAAGAACTTAATTGTCAATGTTGAGTGAGTTTAGAACTGATATACACATTCAAATGATACACAATTCACGGTGTATATTCTATTACCCCACTAATCCGTAGAGGAAGAGGAAATTGCAGTTTACTTCTGTAGTTGCTTTCAATTTGCTTGCTCTGAAGTAATTTTTGACCTGATATGGACGTTAGCTGGATAAAGTGGACTCAAATATTCTAACGATGTCAGTTGCCAGCGAAATATGGCTGGATATCGTCGTGAAAGCTTCGTCTTGTATCCATTCTACTGGTAACTGATTTCGGTTTCGGAAAAAACTTGGCCAAGGCGAAAGAGTGGGAGTGGCTTGTGGAAGAGAAGTGTGCGATGGATCGAGTTAGAGAATGTTGCAGAGTTTATCACAGATAGCGGCAATTGTTTTTCCTTCATGGCATAGCTTATTAAAGATTCGGTAAAACGTTGATAGAGTGCAAAGGACTCCGCATAATATTCTAGTAATCGAACCAATGGAAAGTATTACTATTATTATGGAATCTTTGATTGAACTGGTTTGTTCATCAGTGAACTTGGGCCATTTCTTTCTTTCTTTCTAGCTTGTTAATCTGGTTTTCGTGGGTTAAAGAGTGCTGAAAAATTATTACAATTTGAATTACCGCTCTCGGGCATTCATCTGAAACGAAAGCAAAGAAACATAGCGATGATCTATCTTTTAAATTTCAGTTACTCAAGAGACACTTATTAACTGAACGAAGTGATAAGAAAGCACCGTGGCCTACAGTAGTCACGATTCATATGTAAAAGAAAAAAAACTTAAAACTTACACAGAAGAAGTGCGAGTCCACTAGCATCTTGGACGCACACGAAGAGATGCTAATTGGAATATTCAGCTCAATGAACCATGAGAGGTGTGCGCGTTTGTTTTCTCTCGTTCAAGTGCAAATTTTGAAATATTTATATTTATCATATAAGGGGCAAAATTACTGAATTGTGATTGGTCAAGACAAAGGGCATTTTTTTCTTAACTTTTGTAATTGCCCCGGGCAAAATTACTTGAAAATGATTGGCTGAAAATCGCTTAGCAACGGCTGCCAAGGTAAAGAAATTTCTGTTTGTTTTGTAACAATGGCGTCCCGTTTTGCGCGAGATCAGTAAGAAAACATTTTGCCCCTTATATTATAAACAAGTAATCACATGGTTCCTCGTAAAATTAAGGATTAATATCACTTGTGTTTTCGGAAGTTGCAGAAATTGCCCTCGTCGCTGCGCGACTCGGGCAATTTCAGCAACTTCCGAAAACACGCGTGATATTAATCCTTAATTTTACTCGGCCCCATGCGATTACCTATACTAATTGACCACTCCCCATGGGGGCTTTTCAAGGCCAATTCCCACCCAGCAACCACCCCAAGGGAGGACATCCAGCACACAGTAATCTTGTGCGTGGGAAATTAACGTCTCCTACCCCTAACCCTGTAGGAGATGGGACCTCCATTTATTCATCCCTATCCAAGAAGACTAGAGTATCTAACCATTTCTTGATATAGAAAGGCAGCATGTTCGTCTCACTTGTTTTAAGACCTTGAGTGTAGGTCCGGCCGGCCGGGGCTTGAACCCTCGACCTCCCGAACAACAGTCCGGCGCTCTAACCAATGAGCTAACCGGGAGGCGGTGCATTCCTTAGAAACTTTCCTTGCTCTTGAAACTAGTCTTGTTAGCATATCGATTTTACTCGTTTCATCTCGATTCCGCTTTCAAATTCCGGTACTTATGATCAAAAAGTTTCAAGTATGTACGTTACTGACTACTTAGGGACTTTCGATTTCTGTACATTTCCGCCCAGGTTTTCACGGAAAATAAAAGAGATACTTCATCTTCATCTGCAAAGAGGTGCGCAGTTTGAAGTCTTTCTTCCTGAGAAATAGTCAAAAGTGTCTGTCAGTGACAAATGGCTTCAAGCCTTCCCCAGCAAGCAAAGAAAACCGAGGAATCGACACCATCAAGTGGCCAAGATAACGGATTACAGGTTTGTCATTAATCTATTTAATAGATCAGTCAGCTATACCTTTGCTTTTGTTTACATGCAAGGAACTGCGGAGAAAAAAATCGTCCATAGTACGTTCAACGCCTGGCTGGAGTCGTGCTGGCCTGTCAACAATCAATCAATCAATCAATCAATACTTTATTTACCCACGTAGCGACGAGGAGCTCGTAGAGCTCGTTCAAAATACGTACGTGCCTCTAAGATTAAGAATCTAAAAAAACTTAATACATACTGTCAAGACCTAATAGATTAGAAATTGCAATAACTTAAAATTAACATTAAAATTGAAGTTACAATAAAATTCAGAGTCACTTAAACCCTTTTTACCAGGCGTAAAAAACACTTTTTACCAGACGTAAAGAAAGGATTCGAAAAGGGATAGGCGTTACGCATCCTAAGAACAAATGTAAAGCGCTTCTCTGGGCTCGATTTCCGCCGCTCTCTCGAGTCCGGTCTTTTCTTCCCCGAGGAGAGTGGGTTCGGGGCGGAGCGCGGGCTCCGGTTCCCAAACAGCGGCTGGTAATTGAACCTAGCGCTTCTCCCGATATGGGAAAAAAGTTTTGTATCAATGGAAAATTTATTATTTTTGATCCCCAAAAGAAAGCAATGCAGTGGTCCCGAGTTTCACGACTTATTATCGACTAAAACTTATTACGATCGTGGTCAGCCATATAGTGATTTACAATGTGAAGAAGCGACAAGACTTAGGAGGTGATTGCCCAGAACGATCCTGCCTGAAAGAACGAACTAGAAAATTTGTAGTAAATCAAGCACAGCTCAAAGGTGAATCGATTTCGGGCGGAAAGAAAACGAAGCCTCGATTGCAGTGCACTTGAACATAGAGGAACTTATCAACAAACCGGCCGCCACCAAGTTAAAAGTTGTAGTTATTCACCCCAATGGAAATGTACCCTGGGTACTGGAGGGTTTTTTTTTCTAGCAGCGGAACGGCTAGCGCAAAGCCGCCAACATTGGTGAGCGAAAAACAACAACAACAACAACAACAACAACGATCGCCGACGGCAGCGGTTTCGCTGCTAAAAAAAAGAAAAAAAACCCTCTGGCACCCAGGGTAATGGAAATATGGAAAGCCGCAGCATTTTTTCTAAAGAATCAAAAACACTGATTGTAAATATCTACTAAAAATTTGGAAGACTTAAGCAAACGCAGCATTCAAACATGAGCAGATTAGGCCGGAACTCCCAGAAACACTACGAAGAACTGTGGACGAGGAGTCCAAGGAATATTGCAGACAGCCGAAATTCAGTGTTACGCGAAAAAACGCCTGACGGTCCAAAGAAAACGCTCCTCATCAGTATTTTCCGCGAAAGCATAAATAAATGTTGGCGGAGTCACCAGTATTTCATTTATGCTTTCTTGTGTAAGCTCTGCTGTTGTACAAACACCTTCTTCTTGCGCAGGTTGGTCGGCAGTGATACTAAAATAACCAATACTGAGACTACTGGTCTGTTAAGCTCTCGCACTGACAGTGCAAACGCGACGAAAATCATACTCTAAAGGCCTGTAGACAAACTTCAAAACAACCATTTTTCCTGTCGAATTTAGAAAAGAGAATGCTCTACATATCGAACGATTTACTTCTGTAATAATTTCTTAGGTAACCATCAAATCTGACCATTAAATAATACGTTATTCTTCTTTTGACAACTAATAAGAAACCCCATCCGCTAGTGGACGGAATTTGATTTTTGTCTTGGAAAATCACGGTTTTTCTCTCTTTCCCCCCCTCCCTCCTCGCTTTGTCACTCTTCCCAAATCTTCCACCCGTCCAATATGGCGACCAAATATTCACCACACTGAATATCGTGCTTGAAAAGACAAACTACAGCCTGCAAGCAGCCTGACACTGTAATTTATATGGTAAAACTCATAGCAAAACTGAGTAATTTTTCATGCACATAACAAGTAACATAACAGAGATAGTATTGTCAAAAGACGTATTCGTTTCAAAATTCAATCTATTTAACATTCATGGATTGTTCATTGAAATTCAATTGTGATCACTCAAACACTTAATTTAATGGATAGCGGCAAAAATGTGATGTTAAAGAACAAAGACATGCGGTAGAAACACGTAACAAACCTCAACAAAAATCCCAGAAATGATACATTTCAAACTATGTGGTCATTTCGACGCAATCATTCCAGAGCAAGCACTAAAAAAGCCAAGTCTCAACTTTGTCTTATTAGATTCTTGTGGTAGAAGCATGGAAATAAAAGCAACATACGTGATTTTAATTTGAAAATAAGCCCGTTAGTCATTCATGGCAACCAGAATACTAGGATTACTTATATCATGTGAATACAGACTCCTTCTGGAATAAAGAAGCCATGAAGAACAAAAGAAAAGACGATCATTTGTCGCTTGACTTCCTCTGTCCCCAACTGCAAAAAGGGAGAGGAACAGATCAAAATATGCAGTTAAGACTGCATCTGGTTACTGCTGCCGCATCCCACACATTTAAGAGTCAGGCTTGTTCTACAAGAGAAAGATGATTCAAGAATATAGTGACTAATGACACCCAAAAACCATTAATTAAGTGGCCACAAAAAATCATATAAGCAATAGTGATACTGATAATGCTAATACCACTACCAATATAATAATAATAATAATGATGATGATGACAATAATAATAGCAATGATAACTTGTAGGGGTTCGCTCAAAAATCTCACTGTTCCTCTACCAGTCTTTTCTCTAAGCTCCCATAATGATTAAACTGGGATTTAAGCCTTTAGGATTGGTTTCCATTCCATTCTGTTACAATCAAATCAAACCTTGACCAATGTATGATAAACGTGTTTTTTTTTTTTGTTAGTTACCAGAGTGGAAAAGAGGAACTAAAGTTATTGGATTATTTAAATTTGAAGCCAGTAGAGATGACGTGAGTTCACTACTTTTTGAACATGCTGTAGTATTTGGTTCTTGGTTGGTTTGCTTTAGACACTTCCTCAGCACAAATGAGGGTTGGCTTGAAATTGGATAATAGCAGTATCAATTTATAATACCTCAATTTCCTGGTCAGTTTTTCAGAAACATTCTCCCCTCCCTGCGCATCACGTTGTTTCTCACCACTTTCAGTTTCGTAAAGGTGATAATCGGTGACCTTAGAAACGACACTCGGTAACCTACATTTTTGTTTCAAATGCTACCTTTCGAATAAGCAGAAAACACAGTATTAATCGGGTTTTGCTAAAAGCAGGCCCGCGGCCCACGGCCCACGGCCTGGCAGCCCGAAGACCCAGCGACCCGCAACGGCCTGCGACCCGGAGGCCCGGTGGCCCAGTCCTGATTTTCCACAGTTTTTTGTCCAGCAGTAAATCCACGCGCATGCACAGATCTGCATCGGGTTTGGGCGTGCAAAATGGACGACAGTGAGTTTGAATTCGTTGACCATTTAATCATTTGAATCCTTGTTTCTGTTTGTTGCATGTTGTTCAGATAAAAACGTTTTGATTCTCTGTTCATTAGTCTCTTTACAGAGACCGATAGCACAATAGAGGACTTTCATTATCGAACAATGTAAGTTATTTTCAATTGCAAACGATACTTTGAAAGTGAAAATATCATAAGAACAAAGGAAAAGAAAATACGAACCAAGGGTAAAATTGGAGCACAACACAAACAACAAATTTGAATTTCTTGATGGCGGGGTTTGATTTTTTCACTTTTCGCCGTGATTTCGGTTGTAAAAAGTCCTTTTTTCAACCGAAATAATGTATTTCTTCGCCCAACCTCGAATAAGGAGCTGCCTCCTCGATGTCCGACGGCGTAATGTCGGCAAATCGATGGGTCGCCCGACTGAGAAGAAGAGTTCGCTTGTTGACCTTAGTGACAATGAGATTGAAATCGAGTAAGTACCACTAGGAGACTTACCTGAACATAGCGTTTCCTTAGTAATTTACAAAAACTTTTAATGAACAGTTAAAAATCTGCTACTTGCTAAAAATGGTGCAAATTTAAGAAGTGCCCAGCCTCGAATAAGAGCCCACCGCCCAAGAGGACCAAAAATTTAATAAGCGCCCAGGGCGCTTACTGTATTCGAATAAATACGATACTTACATCGCCGGAAAGCAATGTTTGAGAACACGCTTTCCTTTTAGGGTGGAGTTCCTGTAAATAGATCGACATATCTCTGTATAAAAACGATTCGCAGTTGACATATCGCATCACTTGTGATATGTGCACTTTTAAAGTATGGTTTGAAAATGACTTTCATCGTTCGATAATGAAAGTCCTCTTTTCTGCTATCGGTTTCTTTAAAGAGATTAGTGAACAGAGAATCAAAACGTTTTTATCTGAACAACATGCAACAAACAGAAACAAGGGTTCAAATGATTAAATGGTCAACGAATTCAAACTTACTGTCGTCCATTTTGCACGTCCAAACCCGATGCAAATCTGTGCATGCCCGTGGATTTACCGCTGGACAAAAAAACTGTGGAAATTCAGGACTGGGCCACCGGGCCTCCGGGCCGCCGGGCCATCGGGTCGCAGGCCGCTGCGGCGCGCTGAGTCTTCGGACTGCCAGGCCGCTGGGCCGTCTCGGGCCGTGGGCCGAGGGCCTGCTTTTAGCAAAACCCAATAAAGCGTTGGCTTTGTGAGATGAGAGCAACCTAGCATGCTACAGGATCAGTAATTGTAAGTCCGCATTTCTAGATTATTTTATCCACAAGTTGGCCATTGGTATTCTTTGATTTGTGTCCTGGGAAAGCTGTCTTTCCCTTTGGTTTCTCCCCCTTCAGCCCCGCATATGCCTCTGCGAAGAAGTTGGGAGTTACCGTCATTCACTCTTTTATTTCAGGACTTGTCCTTTCACAAAGGCGAGGAGTTAGTCATTGAAGATCATCATGAGGTGAGTACCTTTATGAAATGGGGTGGATTAGCTTCATAGATTGAATCAGATCCTTACTCTATTCATTCAATTAAGCGCCAAACCTCGAATAAGCTTTGAGCTTTTATTGAATTATTTACTGTGGAGTCCAATGGTATTTATACGTAAAGACTTGCGATGAGTTTCCTTATATGTAACTGTCTTTTCTAGTTCTCGGATTCTTTGAACTTTAAAGTTTTCTCTTGAAGAAGCGTGTCAAGAAGTTGGTTTTGTTTATTCTTTGTTCTTTGGAATTGTTCACTTGATCTGATTCTTTTTCAGTCCTTATGCTAGTCTTATGATACGAGTCTGGGAACTTACACAAGCAGTTCTTACCTTTAAGTGGTTTTTATTTGGCCGTTATCAAGACCCGATTATGGAATAATAACTTTCATCAAAAGACGTGGTTAGTTTTTCTATTGACCTTGATTGAGGCTGAAATTGATGACTACCGAGAGTGGGTTACGGGAGTCTACTGAGGAGGGAGGAAGGGGTTGGAAAACTTGAAACCGGGGAGATTTAGATACCTTAACCCTGGATCACTCGAGCACGATGATTCTAAATTGTATTTCGTTCATTCACAATTGTTTGCCATTATTTTTAATTTTACTTTCAGGGAAACCGCTGGTTTTCTGCGAGAAACTCAAGAGGGGTTACAGGATATATTCCTTGTAGCCATGTTAAAGAAAAAGACCTTTTGACAAATGATGATAAGGTAATTAATTATGCCATACTACCACAACTACTGACACAAGACCACACCAACAGATCTGTGCGAGAAAATGTAAGTTGTACTAGGGTTGAAGAGTTGTTTATCTTACATTATCAACTTAGTTGATATAACCAAGATTACCCTATTTCTAGAAAAAATACTTTAAGTTCCATAAAATTTCAGCTTCACGAGGTCTAGACAACCCATTATTTAAACGTCGCTTGAAATAACCAAACGGTAAATGTGACCATTGATTTTCTTAATGAAAGGAACCGTCTGAAATGTTACTTATCCGATTCCATTGCGAACTAAATTTTTGAACAAGTTTTGGTTGTCTTCAGTATTTCACTCATTTCGGCGCACAGAAGAATTGCAAAATCGATAGGGTAAAATCGCATCTTGGTACGTGGTATGGGGCTAGATCTAGTTAATCCAGCGAAAGAACAAGGTTTCTTCAAATAGCGAAAGGACATGAGGCCGTTTTGGAGGTGAAAAATCCTTACTGTTCCGAATGAAAAGTTACTTTTAATCAACATTAGTCGTTTTTGCCACTCAGGTTACCTGAAATTTAAACTTTTAGCGGTTCAAGTTTTCGAAACAAAACAAGCCAAAATGCATAAACGTCTTGTTCGAGAGCAGGGAGGGCAGTTAATGGCAGTGGCCTGTTCAGCAAGTACACAATCCATATCTGCTGCTGATACATGGTATTAACAGATTTATAAAGAAAACCGACTCAGAGTGTAAAATATGTCAAACATATTAATTTACGGTGTGTAAATTGTACAAATTGTACCTGTTCCCGCCCCTTTTAAACAAAGCCTGTGTCCAGCTGCCCCCCACCCTTCAGGAGAAAATCGGAAAGGGCCTCTTACTGATTTTCGTTTGGAGGTTAGAAGGCCGCATTTTCTCTTAATTTACCCCTCTTGTCTTTTTCATCTACTAATGGGGGTCACTACTCTGTCGATACTTTTTTTTCTGGCTTAATGAGATAAGCTTTTAAAGGTTATCTAATAAGAGGTTTGTAATTTTTAACATCTTGATTAGTGCAGGAACATGGATTGTGTACTCGCTTCACAAGCTGGTGTCGTTAGCTGCCTTCCGCTCTTCTCGAAATGTTCTTTCAGTGAGGATTGCATGACAGGCGCACAATAGCCCCTGCACCTTGAAAAATAGATGCAGTCGTTAAACTTGCTCTATTTTTATTTTTAGTACTTGTTTTTGGAAACCTCAACACTGAGATGTTTATTATTATTATTATTATTATTATTATTATTACTATCATTTGTTTAATGATTGCTTCAAAAGTTACATCTGTCCCTTGTCCACCCCGCCAGAGGTGTAGTTTGTTGCCTGTTACCGAGCAAAGGGAATTTGCTAAGACCGGTTGATAATGAACATCTTTTGCCTGACACTTTTTGCCGCTTTAGGCTACAACCATGTTACTCAAGTAACACTAAACGGCGGAGGTAGGGGTAATGGGCCTGTTGATTCAAATCAATGCATGCAACATCTAATGAGTCAGATCGACGGGAAGACCCAATGTGCACAAAATGGATAGTAGTCATGCACAAGGGCACGACCCCACTAGGTCTGCAATTAAATTAACATGTGGCTTTTTGAGCCTCAGTGGAAGATTGTCAATTTCCATTCAAGGTGGCTGCATATTATGCGCAAAATGGGGACGCTTGTGAAAGTGTAGTGTGATCGTCCGGGTGAGTGTAGTCCTGAGAAGGACTGTTGTCGGTGGTAGTGACTGACGTTTCGACAACCTGTCCGGAAGGGTCAAGTGAATAGTTGTTGTCAGTAGAATATTCTTATTTCAGTTCGTGTAAAATAATTGACCAGTTTTGCCGTGATATTATTGGCTGTAAAACTCAAGTGGCGTAAGCCGTTTGGGATTGGTTTGTTTCGATCCGTCGGTAAAGTTAAGTCGTTCTGTTTGGTTCGTTTGTAATGTTAATGTCGTGAATGAGTCGTTTGTATGGAGCCGGTCGTAGTTTACACCTGGTTAGGAGAGTTTGTTTTAAGTTAGTACACCAGCTTTCCAGAGTTAGTCGTTGAAAGTAGCTAGTGCTGTAGGTAAGGCATTACGCAGAGTCTCAGTCAATATTGTGGTTCGTAAGTCGATGATGTTCAGCAAATTGATTGTTGACATCACCTTTCCTCGTCGCCCGTCTGTGTTCAGTCAGTCGTGTTGTGAGGTTTCTGCCAGTCTCACCGATGTAGGAGGCTTGGCAGTCGGAGCAATTGATCTTATAAATCGCTCCTTGTCTGTTCCTCGGTTCGTCCTTGTCTTTAACGTTGGTTAGTAACTGACGTGGTGTGGTGATGGGTTTGTGGGCGACACGGATATTGAAGGGTTGTAAGATAAGCGATATGTTCTCAGACATGCCTTTTATGTACGGTATGGCTGCTGTAGTCGTAGGAGTTGTGGTGTCGTTTGTTTCGTTAGTGGTAGTAGGTCGGTGAGTATTAAGTCGGATGAAGTCGTCGTTGTAGTTGTTCTTTGAAAAAACCGGGTAAAGGTATTTGTTCTCGTCGGATAAGCTGTCTGTCGAGTCACATACTAGTTATGCGTGTCGTGTTAGAGTTCTGATAGTTGTGGCTTTGTATGATATAGGTAGGATGACTCATCTAGTAATCTGTCGGTGTGTGTCGGTTTCCTGTAAAAAGTCGTCCGTCGTGAGTTATCGTCACGGCTTACCAGACAGTCTAGAAAAGGAAGTTTGCCATTTTCTTCGAATTCTCTGGTAAGCTGTATTTCATTGTTTTGTTCGTTAAGGTGGTGGTGGAATGCGTCGATTTCGTCGTGTTGTACGACGGTGAATGTGTCGTCAACGTAGCGTAAAGGGACGCTTAGCTTGGTTGGCTTATTTCTTTCATACAGTTCTTAGACACCGTAATATTATAAGTGATCGATTGGATCAGCTGACACTCTTGAAGAATGTGGGCACGAGTAGAGGAATACACATTTCGTTCTGGAACAGCTGAATTGCCCACTCATCTGCAACTTCGTGACTTCCTTGCCGCAATTTCGCTGCCATTCTTGAGAAATAGTGAATCTGAGGCTCTTATCTTTATGTTTTACATGCCTTATATCTTTTGCCGGAACTTCTGTTATCCTTTTTTAAATTTCTCGTTTAGGTAGGCCTTCTGCTTAGCACTGAATCAGGCAGCCCTCTCCGAAGCTCGCAATACCCAGCCCTGCGGTAACGCCTGAATTCTTTGCTCTGAAAGCTCAGAACCGGGAATAAAGGGTTGTGCGCTAAATCATTTCTAGAGATTTTCTGGGTAATTATCTTTGCCTTGTCGAGAAGAGAGTGTCTTTCCTCTACAAATGTGCTAATGCTGCTCCAGGTTACAGTGGTGCTGAAAATTACTCACGCATTCTTCAAACGGACAAGAAAAAAGACCGCTGTGCTCGTTGTCAGCGGATACAATGTTTTCCCCTCATTGAACGCTGTCTTCTGTCTTGGAGAGATTTTGAGATTTTGAAGAGAGCACTTGATGTCAAACAAAGGGACGTCTAGAAGTGTCCACGAGAAGAAGAACTGTTGGAAAAGATCGATCCCCCACTGAACACATTTGGAAAAAGAATGTATAAAAAGATGACTAGACTAATGAGACGAGATTCGAGATTTTGTAGAATTTTGTGGCGTTGACAGGATATTTTATTAAATTTCAAAAAATGCGCCCTATTCATAAGGGTATAAACTAAACCTAAAGATTCCCCATTTTAAAGATTCTCGACTTTAAAGATTTCCCATTTTAAAGATTCCCAATGTTAAAGACTTCCCATTTTAATGATTTACGCTTTTCAGGATTTCCCATTCCCCTTCTCCATTTCCCGTTCTCTCATTCCCCATTCCTTATTTTAAAAGTATTCTTATCAGGTATTGGGTGCCTAGCGCTTGATGATTCCCAGACACTCAGGAGAAAACCTACCTGTGTAAATTTTCCCCAATTTAAATTAGGCAGCTTACAGCTTCAAAAGCAGAATAACATTGCAAGGAAAAGCACGGTAACATTACAAGTATACAATGCGTTCCTGCCCTAATCAAGATGTTGAAAAATAGACGGTCTAAGGCTTTATGTGGCTACTGGTATAGGACAGTTTTTGTAGCAGCGAAAGGAACTAAAGGTTGTACCATGACGCTAGAAGGTAGCGAAACAGAATATTTGTCTCGCATGCAAAACAGAAAACCTGCCGCATCTCACATATTTATGAGTACCCTGTTCCACACGAGAGAAATATCGTTCAAGAATACATTTTCTGAGTAGCTCGATTAGCCGGGGTACCCTCCCTCTATGTAAACAGGTTCTTAGAGGTACAACTGCCTGCGTTTGCTCAATGAACGAAACTGAAAAACACTTGAAGTACAAAAGATAGACGGTTTTAGTCAGAATATCACAACTTCAAGTTTGAGGGGGATGGAATGCAAATGTGGAGAGCTTATGGCATCAGGCAGGGAAGGCTGATTCCTTACCAAGATTAAGTCGTCAGGCCTCGAGGTCCTACAGGCCTCGTCAGTAAATGAAAAATTATTTCCGCTCAAGGAGGTTCGGCTCCATAAGACGACACAAAGTAGTGTACCCCCTTTGGACAAGCACGTGTTCAAAGGGATTAACTGCGCAACACACCTAGTACTAGGCACGAGCAGTTTCGTGTTTCATTTCGCGTGAGTTTTCACTTTCAGCGTTCACCAGAGATTGTGTACCGTTTCGTTTTTCTTTTCAATGGGTCGTCAAAGTAGGTGTTCAGGTTGCAAAGAGTTAAAGTTTGCTCATGACTTCGGTCGTCCTGGAAAGTACTGTACCGGTCCAGGGGCCCGTTTCTCGAAGGTCCCGGTAACTTAACGGACCCGTAAAGCTGTTATGTTTTCTTTTAAGATGGGGATTTCAAACGTTTTGAAAATTATGCAATAAACTATTAGCTAAAGAAACAAAAAGGACTTGTTTTGGGTGCCAGAACCTGCTTCCCTATCCTTTAAATTTTGATTTTA